GTTACTACCTATGTATGTGCGCTGAAAAGACCTTTTAGCTAACCCCATACACGGCAAACATTCCTGGTATAGATAAGAGAAAATACACCCAAAGGGAAGTCTAATTACCGTGCGTCTTGGGATGACCAAACCATTTTCTATTACGGCGAAGCTATTTCTGCGTAAGTATCGTCTTACCTTCTTTCAGTGTTCATGGTAAAATGGGATCACCGTGCTTTCATTATTTTTCACCAACACCATTGATCGCAATCATCGAGTTTTTTTATCGTCCTCGATCCACAGAGGCCATATTTCACTTTCGCTTGTCTGTGCAAGATAAATAAAGTTTACAAGAGTTCATATCGTAATGACGTCCTTAAAATAAATAGAGCGTAATTTTTTAATGGAAACGTATATCTTGCTTTCTTTTAAGTTTGCATTTCGATAATCTGACGAAAAATAACAAAAATAACGAAATGTTTCCGTGCTACTTGACTCTCCTTCAGTGATAGTTCAAGATGTATTAAGATATTCATCAACAGATATCTTACAGTTGTGTTATTTTTCCGAGTTTCATTTAAAGTATATTTTATCAGATCGTTTTTGCACCGTCATATTGCACTGGTTGAGCAGTGTTGTGTACTGTTGTGTCAAATGTTTCTGAGCTTCTGGGGTTCAATTACCACGGGATATCACGAAAGAAAACACGTGGTACGGTGTAGGAATGTTGCACGACCGTTTGCCTGTTATCATAAAATTCGTCGGTTGAGAGAGGGCTCATCTAAAATGCAAAAATACCGTTTGTATGTTCATCGTAATCGAAGCGTTTTTCTGGAATAACTTTCCGTTGTTTTTTCTTTTCCAGTGGAATCATGTTTACTTTAAGCCTCTCGTAGGCTCCCGTTCCCTATAACGTATAATGACGGCGATGACGTCTACCAGCAGTGATATAGTTCCCGCTGGTACCGTAATCAAGGAGCGATGGCGAGTGTACAAAAAGATTGGTGGTGGTGGATTTGGAGAAATCTACGAAGCGATTGATATGGTCACACAGCAAAAGGTAGCCGTTAAAGTTGAATCGGCACAACAGCCCAAACAAGTATTGAAAATGGAAGTAGCTGTGTTGAAGCGACTGCAAGGAAGAGCCCATACTTGCCGTTTTATCGGTTGCGGTCGCAACGAGCAATTCAACTACATTGTTATGAGCTTGCAGGGCAAAAATTTGGCAGATTTGCGACGTTCCACCAGACGGGGCAGTTTTACCATAAGTACAACTGTCCGTTTAGCGCGCCAGATGCTTATTGCAATTGAGAACATTCACAATGTCGGGTTTTTACATCGTGACATTAAACCGTCAAATTTTGCTCTTGGTACTGGCATCGGACCTGGAGCCGTGAGCCCGCGCCAGATTGTCCTACTTGATTTTGGATTAGCTCGTCAGTACACTACGGCTAATGGAGATATTCGTGCTCCAAGACAAGTTGCTGGATTTCGGGGCACTGTTCGATACGCTTCAGTGAACGCACATCTTAACAAAGAGCTTGGACGTCAGGACGATTTGTGGTCTCTTTACTATATGCTGGGAGAGTTTATTGTCGGCGAGTTACCATGGAGAAAAATTAAGGACAAGGAACAGGTGGGACTGATGAAACAAACGTTTGACCATAACCAACTGTTAAAGTTTATGCCAAGGGAGTTTCGGTCATTTCTGGAACATATCCAAAATTTAACTTATTTCGATCGTCCGGATTATATGTATTTACACTCACTTCTAAATGCATATATGGAAAGAAGAAAAATCAGTGAAGCAGATCTGTTCGATTGGGAAACAGCCGCAGATTCTGGACAANAAGCCACTGGAGTGAGCGAAACTAATCAACATCATACGAATATGGCTGTTCAACAAGGGGCTCAGGCTGGAAATGCAGCGCAAGTGCCTGTTGAAACCACAAAAGCTCGGAAGGGCACCACTGGTTCTGGTGTCGCTCAGAGTCGTCCGAACGCTGGTGGAACCACTGGTGGTGCGGTCGCGGGGTCCAGTGGGTACATGAGCGGCGCTCGGTTGGTTGGAAGTAGTTCTAATTTAGCCATGGCAGCTCAAGGTGCAAACACTTCCGTGGGCAATATGGGAAAATCGTTTGATGGTACTCCAGGCCATGGTGGTTCAAATAGTGCGATGCCAATTGCACGAGCTGCGTGTAACTCATCCTTTCCCCATCGCATTCTGGGCGATGACCTCATGATCAATAATAACGTACAACAACAACAAAGCAATAACACTCCACGAAAGCTATTTCCAAGCTCCGGAATGCGTCCTCACAGACCAGCTACTACTCCTCGCCTGGTGAAGGAAGCCGGGGCGGCCCGTGCCCGTGAAGCTGCTAGGGAATCGG